TCTACCACCACCATCTCTCTCTCTCTCTCTCTCTCTCTCTCTCTCTCTCTCTCTCATGCCCTAGCCACAACTGTAACACCAATCCCCCAATTCCCTCATCCAAACCATGTATCTCCTCACCGATGTTCCCCAGTGGGCCCTACCCCTCCTTGATATCTACTCACCACACCCAATCCCTTCCCCCACGCCAGCCCAAAGTAGAAGCCAGGGCCGGCCCTGAGGCATGGGCAAGGAGGGCGATGGCCATGGGCCTCCAATTAAAGGGACCCCAAAATTTTATATATATGTATTATGTATACAAAATATAATATTGGCCCATAGCTATATACTTATGTATATTTAAAAATATAATTCATATTCAATTCCTAAATATCATAAATATAAAAGCAAATTATTATGGTTGACATCTAAAAAAATGAAAGCAAATTTTAAATATAATATTGTAGCCTACCACACAAATAGCAAATCTCTCCTCCCGAAGTGGTCACGTGGGTTTGGTGGATTACCATGATTATTTTACTTCTTCGTTTTTGCCATTTGCTCTACCCAAAGCATCTTGCCCATCACATCTCCATGCCTCTGCAGCCCAAAATGTTTTTCTATGTTTCTCATTTATCGTTGTTCTTCCCTCCTCCCCCTTTCTCTCACTGATTTTCTTCCTCTTCTTCCTCCTCTCATCTCCCAGCTCTCCGATTATTTCCTTCTCTTTCCTCTTTATTTTTTCTTCTCTTGTTCTCTCTTATTTCTCTCTGTCTCTCTTTCCCCTTCCACTTTCCTTCTTATAGCCTCGATGGCATCGTTGCATCAATGTCATGGCTGGTAGGTACATATGAGGAGCATAAAGGTGAGAGAGGGAGTGTTTCAAATAGCTCAGGAGGGTTTCAAGGAGGGAGAGATAAGGTTTTCAAAGACACATGGAAATTTGAATTTCAGGTCAAGGGCGAATTTACTTAACAGACACCTTTTGTTTAGCTTGCAAAGACACATGGAAATTTGAATTGCAGGTCAAGGGCGAATTTACTTAACAGACACCTTTTGTTTAGCTTGTTTTAAAAGATGATGCTTACTAATTGATAAGCGTCGTGTTCAGAATCGAACTCGTCCCGAAGGTTACATTGCTATGCGGTATATAGCTGAAGAAGCTGTAGAGTTTTGTACCGAGCATTTATCTAATGTTAGTACAGTTGGAGTGCCTTCAAGCCAGAAGATGGGAGTTTCAAAGCCATTATCAGGTTGCACAGTGAGCTTAGTTGATATGGACTTGTTGAACCAAGCACATCTATATGTCTTATGAACCAGGCACATCTATATGTCTTGGAGAATACTGAGGAAGTCCTACCTTATATCGAGTACGTATGAGTTTAATTTTTCATATGTAGCCGTTTTAAATATTATTACTCCTTATGTTTATCTTATATACAAGGGACCGTAATGCGTGTTTTTTTTGTGTCAATTGTAGGGAACATATGATCCACATCAAGACCACTTATCCGAAATTTAGAAAGAGAACAAAGTGGCTACAAGATAAGCACAATAGCACTTTCATTCAATGGCTACGCTTTAAGGTATATATGTTATTGAATGACGTACTGAACTTTTAATTTTCTTTCTTTCTATATGTTAGATTGAATTAAGATATATGTTTAATTT